AACATCAGTAGAAGTTCTTAGTTTTATTTCTGTGGTTTAAAATGAAATTAACATTAAGCTGCCATATCAAGTGTCCAGTTATGAGAAACTTTTTGTTTTTGTGTAATTCCATTTATGTTTATAATCATCACAAATTACTACCTGCTGTTGCGTTTGTAGTTCAGGCTGACCACCTGCGTGTCTTTTGTGAGTGGCATAATGTGTTTGTGTTTTATTTTGTTTTTCTCTTGTTTTGTTCTTTTTAGGTATAGGTTTAGCCTTCAATCTGCAACCGGCCTTAACAATAATTGGAAAATACTTCTATAAGAAACGACCCATGGCGAATGGATTGGCCATGGCGGGAAGTCCTGTCTTCTTAAGTACATTGGCCCCTTTCAATCAGTTTCTTTTTAATAATTATGGCTGGAAAGGAAGCTTCTTGATTTTGGGAGCAATATTTTTGCATGCCTGTGTGGCTGGGTCCCTCATGCGACCCATTGGACCCAAACAAACTAAAAGCAAGTCTAAAAATAAGACTGACATGAGAGTGGATGAATCAGGTGTGAAAGAAAGCCGTGAGAGGAAATCAATTTGGGAAAGAATAAACAAATATTTAGATTTCTCCCTTTTTAAGCATAGGGGCTTTCTTATATACCTGTCTGGCAACGTTATTATGTTTCTAGGATTTTTTGCCCCCATTATATTCTTGGCTCCATATGCTAAGGACAAGGGAATTGATGAGTATTCTGCAGCTCTTTTGCTGTCTGTTATGGCTTTTACTGATATGTTTGCTAGGCCTTCTGTAGGATTAATTGCAAACTCTAAACTTATCCGACCCCGAATCCAGTACTTCTTCAGTTTTGCAATCATGTTCAACGGAATCTGTCATCTTCTGTGCCCACTGGCAGAAGACTACACAAGCCTGGTGGTGTATGCTATATTCTTTGGCCTTGGATTTGGGAGCGTTAGCGCTGTCCTCTTTGAAACTCTCATGGACCTTGTTGGTGCTGTGAGGTTTTCCAGTGCTGTGGGACTCGTCACAGTTGTGGAGTGTTGCCCCGTTCTACTTGGCCCTCCTCTTGCTGGTAAGAATATTTCTCATCGAGGAAAGCAAAAAAGCATGCAGTTAATATTCATTAGCTGAGAGAATATTCTTTGCAGTGAACAATAAGGTTCGTAATAATAAAATACTAATAGCTTGAATGACTATGGGGTTGTTAATTTTAGGTTTTATTATTTGTTTTAAAATTTCATAATTAGTTGACTTTAGACCTATATTTACTTCAGAGTCTGAACCTTTGATTTGAAGAATATAAGTGAGACTGATACTTAGTATTATATATTTTTCAGGATTTTTATCCACAGCAATTGTTTTGTGCTTTTAAAATGTATCATTAAGAATAAAATGTCATTTTTCCTTTATCTATGGTGAAAAGATTTCTCTTCTACTTATATTAAAATAAATCTAAAATAATGCCTCTCAAATGTTTGTAATTAATGTGCGGATAACATCATATTCCTGTGCCTAAGGAACACTTTCTAATATTACAGACGTGAGTACGTGTGTGTGTATGTGTGTGTGTTGTTGTTGTTAGTTGCCATTGAGGCTATTTGTTTAATATCACTGATATAAATATACATCTTATGTATATATGTTGTTGTTGTGAGTTGCCATAGAGGCAGTTTTGACTCATGACGACCCCAAGTGTGCAGAGGAATACTGCACTCCATAGGGTTTTCAAGGCTGTGACTTTGGGGAAGCAGATCACCAGGCCTTACTTCCCAAGCATCTCTGGGTGGTCTGAACTCCAACCTTTCGGTTAGTAGTCCAGAACTTAACCATTTGTGCCACTCAGGATATTTCTATCTCTCTCTCTCTCTCTCTATATATATATATGTGTGTGTGTGTACATATATATACATATATATGTATAGAATATACAAGGATGAAGGAAAATGCATTCAAGACTATTTTTATTATACTTATATTCCCTACTTACGGATTGTAAAGATTACCTTTAGATTTTAAGATCTAAAATATTTTCAAAAGATGCCTATAAACGTGTCTTTGCTAAATTACCCAATCAGAAGACTAAGGAGATATTTAGGATCCCACCAAAGAAGACCCTCACAAATTGAAAACAATTTTGTAAAAGAATGTAATCGAGTATTAAAAAAAAAAAAAGCTGTCATCACAGATGCATTAGATTCTTGTCAACTTCCTTATGGTTATTTGATAGTTTTATTTTGAATTACAATTGTGAATGCTTTTACAAGTAAATTCTTCTGGTTAGATAGAGTTATATTATCTGAACCTATGATTTTAAGACTCATATGTAATGCATTTTTGAAGTTCAGACTTTGTTTAGTCTTAGACTTTGAATGTCATAGATAGTAATATATTTTTTTGTGGGCCAGTCTTTTCCAGCAATTACCATACATCCATTTGGTTAATACTGGACTTAAGTATTCATCTAGACTCTTGGCCTGCCCCCTAGTGGTCAGAGTAACAGCCAGACTAAATGTAAATTTTTATGTACTGTATTTAGTCAGGAAACCTTGGGGGGTATAGTGGTTAAGTGCTACAGCTGCTAACCAAAAGGTTGGCAGTTTGAATCCACCAGGCGCTCCTTGGAAACTCTATGGGGCAGTTCTACTCTGCCCTATAGGGTCGCTGTTAGTTGGAATCTACTCGTCAGCCATGGTTCCCCCCACCCCCTGTGGCAGGTATTTAGTCAGTGTTTAAACTGTTTTCTACTTGACATCAGGCAAGTGGAAAAATCCATGCTTGTTAATCCTTAATGCCAACATTAAAGTTTTGTCTTCAGCTTTTTCACTTGATGAGGAATACATCAAATCTGCCTCGAAGACCTTGGTGATGTGGTAGTTGCGTTTTCTGTCTGCCAGGGCTGTCCTCTGTATATCTGTCGTTATGGCTCTACCATGCCAACAGAAACAGTTATCAGAGTGAAAACCAGTAGATCGTATACTTATCAGCCAGTTGACTTTGTTATGTAAGGTAACGACAACTGGCCTGTTTTTCATGCAGAGTTATTTTGACCAGATGAGTTTTAGAGTCTGTTTTAGTTGCAACAAAAATTTTTAAATATCAACAGAGGAAATTCTATTTCACTATCTATGGTGGGAGAAAAAATTTAAATCAGTTCAACAGACTTAGAGATAAGGCACAAAGGAATGAAATGAAGGGATCTGATTTGGCCAATCCTACCTGTGCTGAGAGCCTGCATTAATAATATTTTTTGTATCAATTTTAGTATCTTTGATTGCTTATTATGTTGATATTGCCAAACAGTTGTGCCACTGGTCACAATAAAACCAAACCCGTTGCCACTGAGTCGATTCTGACTCATAGTGACCCTATAGAACAGAGTAGGACTGCTCCACAGAATTTCCAAGAAGTGGCTGGTGGATTCAAAATGCCGACCTTTTGGTTAGCAGCCAATTTCTTAACCACTGTGCCACACTGGTAGCAATGCAGCAATTAATTTGGGCCTCATTGTTGAAGCTCTTAGACTATAACCATAATATATCCATTTTTCCACCCTATTTCTGCTTCCGATACTCCTTCACCTTTAGCCTTGTCTCTATAACATTTGATTACTGCTAGAAAATGTCTCATGTATAATAGGTACATAATATTTTGAAATGAATGGATATTATTGCTATTAATTCTAACACAGTTGCAGCTACTGCTGCTATTTTAATTACTAGAGCAGTGAAAGGTAGGGAATGTGTGATTTTTATTTTTATATTTTTTGCAGCCCAAACTTTCACTACTCCACTCACAAAGAGCTGAAACTTTAGTTCTTGGTGATGCTAAAAAATTCCGTAAACATTTAGAGAGTATACTGATATTGCAGCCTAAAGTGATATTAACTCTGATGAATTCATGGACCTAATTTTTATTATTATTATTATTTAGTAGTGTAATGAGCATTGTATGAATATAAATATTTGACTATTTTTAGACTGGAAAATTAAATTATGCAATTTTTATTATGTGCATGTATGTTTCATACTTATTCAAATAAGCGTATTCCACCATTTACCTACATAAAACAGGAAACTGTTCAAATAGAAAATTTAGCAAGTAGCTAACTTTAATACTGGGCCCGTTTTCCTAGAGATGCTGACTAAACAGACTGGCTTGAAAGGCCTATATCAGAATGACCTGGAATGCACATGATAATATAGATCTGTGTATTGTACACTAACTTTTGTTGTTAAGAATTATTAAGAATTTGATGCCTGCATAAACAATATGGTCGCAATTATCAAATGGAACAGAGTTTGTTCCTGATTAGTTTGGCCTTGATAATTTAGACTCAGATAAAGTAAAAAAAAAAAAAAAAAAAACTGTGATTAGCCTAAAAAGTGGCATGGCCCTTAACCAAAACGTTGGGTGAAGCTATTTTGCAGAATACTTAAGAATGTGAAATTCAGACAGACGTGGGCTGGAATACAGATTCTGCCACTCACTGGCTATGCATCCATGGTCTAACTATGTCATAATACTCTTGTAAATATTAAGTGAGATATTACAAATAATATGCTTCGCTTAGTGCTGGGCATAAAGTTTTTAATAAATATTAGCCACTGTTAGGGCCTTACGAAAGACTCTGCATCTCTCCTAAAGAATGGAACTTTTCTCTCGTATTGAAGAGAAGAAGGAGCATGGAAAGGGTAAAGCGATTCCCATGTGTAGAACAACATACCTCGCATGTGTATATATTTATGCATATAAATGCAAACACATATATACCTAATATATCTGGATTACATATTTTTATTGGGGGAACTATTTTCTAATAAATTTAATCTACTAGTAATATATTGCCGTAAACTCCTATACATGCCTTTACTATGCATACGTTGAAGTCAAAATCTAGAATATTTTTGCCTTTGCTCAAAGTCTCATTTAATATTACTTTAAGTAAGAAATCGTTATACATTGTGTCTGGGAAAGAATTTGAACATTTTTATCATTTTTTATTATTGTGTTCTTTGTCTCTTAGGTAAACTGGTGGATAAAACTCGAGAATACAAATACATGTATATGGCCTGTGGAGCTATCGTGGTCTTCTCAAGCATATGGTTGCTCATTGGCAATGCTATAAACTATAGATTGCTTGACAAGGAAAAGAAGTTGGAAGAAGCAAGGAAGAAGCAAATACATACAACTGAGTCCAAAGAATCTGAACCCTTGAACAAATTGAATTCTCCTGACGTTAATGTCAAAATTTCGGAAGCACAGGCTACTGCCTCAGAAAGAGAAACTAACATTTAACAAGAATTAAACATCTCTGAATTCAGTGATGATTCTTAGGAGTATTTTTTTTCAAAATATGGAAAGGTTGTTTTTTAGTTGAAATGAGGAGTTCCAATTAAGGAAGTAGATGAAATGTTCTACAATAGCAAATTTTACATGTATTTATTATTTAAGATGTATTTACTTGGGCAGATAAGTTTTGAGATTATGCATGTAAGGAATCCATGCAATGAACTTAACTTCCATACATGACTCTGGGTGTTATGGTTAAAATACTAATTTTAAAGTCTTCCAGTGACAGATAGTCTTGGTCATAGGTAGAGAGATCTGAATCTAAAACCTCTGATTTAAGTAGTTACCTAGTTGGAGACAAGAAGTTTAATTCCATAAGATGATTCTCTCTACGTTTCATTTTTTATTTGGTATTAAAGTATATACTCAAATTGTGCATACATGCACACAGAGTATCTGGAGAACAAAAGACAAGTATGTCCAAAAAGAATATTTTCATGGTAATTTTTTTTAAGTAAAAAAAAATCCCTGGCAACTAAAGAAATGTATTGTATCTGCCGATTACTTTACAATGTGGGGTTTAAAGATAAGTACATGGGTGAAAATGAGGGTAGTCTTAATTAGAAAATGCAGTTGACTAAGTGTTGGCACATATAAAACAAATTTGATAGAGAACAGAGGAGGGAAAAAAAACCTCCATTTTAAACCATTGTTTCTGAGTACTATTAGCTTGATTAATCTGTGCACAGGATTTTCTTTGAGGGGTATCGTTAGTACCTGGAGCTAGTGCACAGAACTCTCAAATAATTTAAGGAATCTTATCTAATATGTAAATCGAACTAAAAGCCTAAATGACTCCTAGTAATGAGCTGTGTCCATCGATTTTAAAACAAATTTAGTTTGTAATCCAGAAGGAAACAATTGGGAATTTCTTTTAATCAGACCTCCATCCAGACTCAATGTCCTACTGAAACATTAAAGTGGAATAAACCAGAATCCTGGTTTACATGTATACAAATAGACTGAATTCTAATTTTTCCAACGCATGAGGTGATCAAGAGGGTTACTGTTATGAGTAATCCATCTGAGTAAAGCTGATTAATACTGGGAGTTACTTTTAATGATCTCTGCAAGCTCTGTCAGCTCCCTCCCCTCCACAGAATGCAAAAGCAAAAAACAAACCACAAACAGGCCTTTTATTCAAGCACTAATAATGCCTCATATTATAGGAATGGTAGCACGTGAAAATTCTGCCCTCTACTGATTAAACTTTCTGCTGCCTGTGAGTATCTGAACTAGCGAGCTGTTAAAGAAGGCGTTTAGCCATGTAGACTGTTATGACTTGGAAATGTA